TGACGCACCAACTCCCCGCAGGGAGGCGCCGTCGCAATCTGGGCCCCCCCGCGCATTCGCCCCCAGGGTCGCCCCCTCGCAGCGGGCGCCCAGGGCCTCGGCCGAGAGCCCCGCCCCCCGCCAACAGAGGGCATCGGCCCACGTCTGGCGCGAGGCCCCGCCCACGACGCATAGGGCCCACTGCTTCCCAAAGGGGGCCCGAACCACGCGCCGCAACTTCGAGCCCTGACAAGGCCGCGTCGACGAGGGGGCATCTGACCGTCGCGCGTTTCACCGGGACAAGGAAGTTGCTGAACCAGAAACTCCCAATGGAGTGTTAGGCCGCCTTGACAGCCTGCAATGTCTCTGGAGCTCGGGGCCAGGAATGAACGCGGCCGACTCGAGGCCTCCGAGGTACCGAACGCGGTGCGCAGTCGTTCCTGCGAGGCCCAGAACTTCCCCGCCGCGCAATTCGCGCTGGAGTCGATGGCCCCGCGGCCGCGAAAAATGGCACGCATTCTCCTGCTTGCCGATTTTCTGCCCCGCCCACACCACCCCAAGACCCCCGCCCATCGCTGCGCTCTCGCTCTCGCCCCCCCCTGGCGGCGCGCCCCGCCCACGCCCCCCCCCCCATCGCCGGCGCGGCCCGCGTGGGCGAACTGCTCGGGATAACCCGCCTGCCAGGGCCACGCTGCTTCGACCCGCGGGAACAAGCCTCGAACGATCGAACAATCTGACGCCTCCCCCATAACAGGGGCCGAGTAGCCTGGAGGACAGCTCGGCGGCCCCCGCGCCGCCCGGGAGAAAGCCTGATCGCGCCCGCTGCCAGGGAGAGCCGCTCTCGCCCTCACGCGGGAACGCGTTGCGCAGGACCCAATATTTGATGAGCTGCCGACGAACGCGCGAGCAGCAAGAACGCGCATTATCTGACAAGACGTCGCGCTGCACAGTGTAGCACGCATTCGTGGCGTCGCGACACCTGAGCACGAGCGCGACGCCTGCTGCTTGCATGCGGTAGGATCCTGCCAGCCGCGCCCCCACGGCCGCCCCCCCCCCCGTCCGCCCGGGCCCCCCATGGAGCCAGTTGGAGGGGGCCGACCTGCATTCTCTGCGTGCCAGAACCGCCGCGTGGAAAGCTCGCCCGAGCAATCAAGCTTCTGATTATTCTTCGGTCAACGCGCCGCCTGCGCGCTGCGCCACACACTTGGAAACAGCCGGCGTCTCCAACGCGCCACTCGCCGCGCCTTCGCGACGTCTCTCGCGCAATCAATCTCAACGAGCCCCTGGTCGCAACGGGCCCCCTTCCCTCTCCTGGGCCGCCTGTCGTTGACCCACTTAAGATGGAACGCCAGCTAGCCTGAGGAGCTCGGGCGGGAGCGACCAGGCTAGCCACGCGCGCCAACATCTGATCTTCCAGGAGGCCTTGGTTAAATGCGCCAGATCCCCAGTCGCAGGAAAGAAAGCTCCCGATTCACCCACCAGCCCCCCCCCCCCCCCATCGACATCCTGCCCCACCTCGGCAAGATGCGCCGGCGCGGCCCCACGTCCTCCAGCGAGCGGGTATAGCTGCATTCTCTGTGCCAAGGATCGTGCCGAGGCTGAACCGCTGGCAATCGCTGCAAATCGTCGCTGGCGAGGTCTTCGCCTCCTACAAGGCAATAGTCGAGCCAATTCTTGCGCGAGGTAGCGTTCCGGGCTCTTCGCAGCTAGTTGTAATCATCGCGCTCTTCTTTCTTGTATGTCAGGTATTTGTGGCTAGCTGCGCGGATCAACTTGTGTTTGTTATTCTAGTATTGCGCGAAGTGCTCGATGTCCCCCCCCCCCGCCCTCTCCCGCGCGCCCCTCCTCTCCTTCAGAATCGGGCTATATGTGTATATGGCGTGCTGCGTGTGGCTCTCTGCGTATAGCGGTGATGCATCGCGTTGTGTTGCAGCTGCTTGGTTAAGAGCTCTTATCAATAGCTCGTTCATCGCATCTACGCCCCCCGGCCCCGCTGCGGAATCGAACTCTTCCTGAACCTTCACGACCTCCTCCTCCGTTTGGCTAAGTACCTCATTCCACTGGTCCCCCATCTGAAGGCAGTAGCACATTCGGCCTCGGCGGTCGTCGGGACAGAGGTTCGACGGCCCGCTGCGCAACGAAAAAAAGGGTCTATGGTCTCGAGGTTTTCGAGTTGTCATCAGCTGTAGTCTTCGTGTGGATCCGTTCAACTGTCTGCAAGATCTCTCTCTCTCTCTCTCTCTCGAGAGAGAGAGAGAGAGAGAGTCATATGTGGTCAATGCACGATTATCCTTGCTCTCCAACATACGCCGGCGGCCCAGCAGCGTGTGGAAACACTCGCGAGTCCCCATCCAGCAAGGTATGGTCTGAACCTCATTGATGAGGGTGTAATACGACCCGTGCCGCGAATACCCGCCACACGATCCTGTGGACGACGTGGCGGCGCGAGGGTCAACACATCATCATGACTGGGACAGCCCCTCTTTCTCTCTCTCTCTCTCTCTCTCTCTCTCTCTCTCTCTCTGACTACCGCCAACACCTCCGACATCCATGTCAGCAAGAGTTCCACTGTCCTCTCGTAGTGCTGCCTGCCGCCCGACATCGTCACTCGAGGAAAGAAACTATGGTTCGAAAATGCCGTATCGGAGACCCAAGGATTCGATCATGATGGCGAGACCGCGCCCTCGAATAAGCTTGGGACGTCAAAAACTCTCTTGGCACATGTGATGGGCCATCTCTCGCGCCTGAACAAGAATGTAAATCCACAACTCTTAATTGCGAACTGACCATACGAGCATCCTGTCTCAATACTGGAATACGCGCCAAAAGTCCTCGTCCTCTCGGTGACTTCGCCTCGGCTCTTGAGCTGGGTGCCCACGAGCGCGATGATGTTCTCCCGCCCTAGTTCATGCACAGTGTCGAGTAATCTGCTGTGTGTTGGCGCACTGCGGGTTATACAATGTCAATATCACTGGGCCCGCTGGCATCGTGGAGCTACCGCCGCCAGGCCTGCGAGCTGCATCGGGAGAAGCCCCGCGGACAGGCGTGCGGGGTTGGCCGGTTCAAGGGTGGCGCGCGCTGTTGCGCCGTGCCTGGGCCACCTGGAGGAGGAGGAGGAGGAGGAGGAGGAGGAGGAGGAGGAGGGATGACAAATGAAACTAAAGCGTTCAAACGTTTTGGCGCAAGTAGCTGCTCTGGGCCACCGTGGGCCTCTGCAGCCTTCCGAGGGGCTCCAGGAGACGGGGAGAGGTGAAGTCAGGATGGGGCAAGGGGGGAGGGCAGGCAGAGAGACGGAAGAAAGAAGTGGGAAACGGGAGGGGGGGGAGAGGGAGGATGGAGGGAGGGAAGAGGGAGGACGAATGACGGATGAGGGAGGGAGTGAGTGGCGCCAGTCGCGAAGTGAGTTTGAAAAAGGTTACGAGGCCAGACGAGCCGCTTCAGCCCGCCTTAGAACCGTCGAGGTGTGCAGAGGTCAGGCTGACCAGCTCGAACGTACCAGCGGGGCCCGTCCACCCCGGCCCTGACCGCCAGAACACGAAGACCAATGCTGGCACAGGCGGACACTGGGACCGGCGGGCGCCGCCGCCCAGCGGACGGAAGGCGCTCCGCCTCCGGCAGGTTGGCGAAAATACCAAGCACGCGCCGCGCCCGAGCGACAGCGCAATTTGGGAGGAGAGCCCAGGAGCAGACACGGCAGCAGCGTATCACTGGCTGGTGCGCGACCCAGCTTGCCAGGAGGACTCGCGATCGGAAACGACATGTGCCGCGCCCCAGCGGGAGCGCAGCTTTCAGGAAAAGACTGCTGCGCAGCGCTTGAGCGAGAACGACACTTCGCTCCCTCAGGCACGGCTACAAGGCCCCCAACAATCAAACTAACGAACTAACTAACTAACAAGCACGTCGTGCCCAAAGCGGGAGTTCAACTTGTCGATCACGAAACGCCCATGTTGAAGCAAATCCGCCGACCAGTTTCCCCTCAAGCGTTCCAGCCACAGGGAAATCGAGCAATGTCGTCATCGAGCGAGGGGAAGCCCCTTCTCTTTGATCCCTCCCCCGCCAGGGGGGGGGGGTCCAACGGGGGGTGGAGGGGGGGAGGGGGTCCAGGGGGTTGTTAACCCCTCCCCTGGGAGAAGCTTTCCGTCGTCATCGCCGTCGTCGTCGCCCTCGTGGTTATCGTCGTCCCCCTTCACGGTTTGTGGCACCAGCCTTTAGGCCTTCGCAATACACAGTTTACACCTTGACTTAGGTCGGGCATATCCCCCAGAAGGCGAATTTGGGACGACAACAGAAAAATATTTTTATTTTTTTATTTATTTTTGATATATATATATATATATATAAAAAAAAAAAAAAAAAAAAAAAAAAAAAAAAAAAAAAAAAAAAAAAAAAAAAAAAAAAAAAAAAAAAAAGTCAAGGCATACTCGAAAAATCGTCGCCAGGCTATTTATTGACCATGTTTGAATTTTTCCTCCTGTAGAGGGACACGCCCGACTTAAACCTTGCCCCTGTATCATGTCTGGTGCGTCGGACAAGCCACCCCCCCGCTCGGGAACCCTACCAAGGCGAGAATGAGGGAAGTGGGTCGTTCTGGGGACCTTACCGGCGCCACTCGATCATCTCGTGCGTCGATGCTGCGTCGAACGTCCGTCGACTTGAGTCGAATCTGAGTCGAATTTCAATCAAACCCGATGCGAACTAGAGTCGAATAGATCCGCTCGGTGACACCAGGAAGATCTCCCAAACGGGCATCTGTGTACTGTACTCCTACGGAGGGGGGGAGGATGGAGGGAGGAAGGGCCACCACGACGACGGCGGCGACGATGACCACCGACGACCGCCGACGACCGACGACGCCCCTTCGCTGCAGACAGTGGGGAAACGAAAAGATAACAGCACAGCTACTCCCCTGACATCTCCAAGGGCGCGTTCTGTTCAGGGTTCTGGAGAGAACCAAGCCGTAACGACGAGTGCTCTCCAGGGCAAACAGCAGCGTCGGAAATTATCCCTTCCTGCCCTGAGGCAGGTCCTCGAGCAGCCCCTCGGACGCGTGCTCCAGCGCCATCCAGCTCTGCCGCACCGCCTCCAGCACGACCTCGCGGTCGGCCCTCAGCTCGCCCGACGCCTCCTCCAGCGCGCGCCAGCTGCCCCGCACCGCCTCCAGGACGACCTCCCTGTCTGCACGCGGCCCCTCGCCTTGGAAGGGCGAACCGTCAAAAACAGCTCACAAAGAACAGCCGGCCCTGGTGAGGGAATGAGGGGCAACGAAAGGGGGAGACTGGCATAGGGGGGGACGCCTCGACCTAAATTCGGCGATACGTCGCCGATAGATCGGTGATAGGCCCCCGATAGTGAATCTGCACGTTCCTGTGAATGTTCGGGCTATCGGGCCCCTATCGGCGATCAATGGGCGATGGGGGGTCGATGCTTCCCCCTTCCCATCGGTCGGAAGAAGTAGGTAGAAACATGAAGGAGGAAGGCGTTGGAAGTATATTGGGTCTCCGCCCGCCTCCAGAAGAGGAGGGAAGAGGGGCAGCTGAAGCAGGAAGGCGCTTAACATAGATTATCTTTCAGCTTTCAACGACCGATGGGTATGCCTATCCCCCCTATCGGTCGAGACATCCGGGGACCCCGAACTAGAAAAATCAAGACATCGGATGTCTGGGTGTCCCGGTCATGCCGCGTCTTTAGAGGCCTCCTAGATAGTGTGCGAGCAGATGGGGTCGGGGGATCTCGCCGCATCGCCGATACATCGGCGATGCATCGCCGATGCATCGGCGATGCATCGGCCATGCACTGGCGACGTCGGCGATACATCCGCGACGTCGGCGTGGAGAAAATTGGGCCCCGCATCGAGCCGCATCGGCGCCGCATCGCCGATGCATCGGCGATGCGGCGCGATCATCCGACCCCAGCTACTCCGACCCCATCTAAAAGGCCTAGAGTCTTGCGCCCGCTCTGCGCCTCCGAGGGGGCCTCCAGTGGGGCCTCCGCGAGGGAGCCTCCTGCGAGCCTCTGTGGGTGCCTCCGGAGGCAGCGCCGATGGCGTCCGGGGTCCGGCAGAGAGCCCCGGGCGCTGCTGCTGGAGGCACCTGACTGGAGGGGCCCAGGGACCCACGAGTAAACAGACGCAAATCCCAGGATTCCCCGTATCCCTCCACATTTTCTGGGCTCTCGTCTTCCCCTCCGCTTCCCATAGTTCCCCACATCTTACTGGGAGGGTCGGCGTTCCCTTGCGCCTGCCTCTATGATTCCCGCCTGACTGGCCAAGCCCAGCTCGAGCCCCCGAGCCGGTGCATGCGCGCTCCTGGCCTGGCCAGGGATGCGCGGGCACCGATCCAGGGTGCCCAGGGTGTGCCCGGCCCAGGATCGGTTTCGGTGTCTGGTCGGACCTGGGGACAGGAGAACATCCTTCCAGCACATGAAACCCTCCGCCTGCCAAGCCGAAGAACAGTCGAGGGCACCCTCCCCCCAGGAGGCACGAGAACATCCAGCGAGCACGACGAGCACGAGGGCACCCACCCCGAACCGACCTCGATCTTGCATCTCGGTCCGACTGGATCGCTGGCGAGCTCCGATCGCCTGCGAGGAGGGGCAGGTCGGGGGCGCGCCCAGGGGGGGGCGAGAGGCGGGCCTTCTCAAAGGCTCGGACGACGACGACAACGACGACGACGACGACGACGACGGTGGGCGTGACCCCAACGGGCTGATTGGACGGGCGGGGCCTTACCGGGCACTTCGTGCCAGAGGGACCCTCACGGGCGGGTCAGGTGACAAGGATATGAATCGTCGGCGAGCCAGGCGGGCAAACGAGGGGGCGGGCATTCTCAGAAGGCTCGCAAGTCCCCGGCCTTCCGAGAAGTTGTCCTACCCGAAGAGACACCAAGAACTTCTCGGAAGGCGCGGGGGCTTCCGAGAAGTCCCGCCACACTCTCTGAAAAGGCCTTCTCCTTCCCATTCCCCCCCCCCCCCCCCCCCCGCTCGCTCACCGAACAGAGGGGAGGAGGAGGACGGAGGGGGGGACCAAGGAGGACACGGAGGGGAGGAGGACGGAGGGGGGAGGAGGAGGGGGGGGAGGAGGAGGAGGAGGAGGAGGACGGAGGGGGGGAGGAGGAGGAGGGGGAGGAGAAGGGGAGAAGGGGAGGGGGGTACCAGGGAGGACGGGAAGGAGGGCGCTGGCAAGCGCTCTCGGAGCCTCCGCCGGGCACGGCGGGCGGCGGCCTACAAAGGCAGGAGAGCGGCCCCTCCCCCCGCCCGAGGATGTGCTGCCCCCCAGCGGGCTACTCCAGAGGGAACTCCTCCCTCCTCCCTCCTCGCTCCCCTCTCCCCTCCTCCCTCCCCCCTCCCCCTCCTCCCTCCCTCCCCTCCTCCCTCCTCCCTCCTCCTTCCCCCCTCCTCCCTCCTCCCTCCCTCCCTCCTTGCCTCCTCCCTCCTCCCTCCCCGCTCCCCTGGCCGACAAAAAAAAACCCTGAGCTCGAGCGAGGTTCTCGTGCCGTGCCTCGGCGGCGCGCGAGGGGGGGAGAGTGAGAGAAGGGCAAGGCCTTCTCTGGAGGCGGCGGGGCGTCTAAGGCCTCTGGCCTTCTGGTGAGCGTTTTTGTATTCGGCGTTTCGACATTGGGCGGTAAGGGGTGGAGGAGAAGGGGTCTGGCTCCGGATCTCTGTTGATTGCGACAGTTTGCAGCAGTGCCGCCGATCGGGGAGGGACCCCACCTGCCTGAAACAGGCGCCAAAAACAGTCAAGATCTACTCTATGAGGGGGGGGGCGCGAGGGCCCGCGCCGAACGGCAAAACAATGAATGAAAAAACGATCACCTGGCAGCTAATGTTTGCATCTTCAGGAAAGGTTTGGAAAACTGCTCAGAAGGCCGGGGGGGGGTCCGAGCCTCCTGGGAGGGCCCGTCCCTGCTCGCTTCCCCCCCTCGCTCGCCGCCGAATGTCCGGCTGGGAAGCAGGACGCAAGATTTGCTGAAGCGGCGCGGGTCCTCGCTGGCGGGCTTACCACAGAGAATGGCGCCCGAATGGTTGGGGCCAGACATATATCTGGAGGTAGGAAAGGGGTGTGGCATAAAGGGGTGTGGTGCCAATGCTGAGTCTGGCGATGTCATCTATCGTAGACAGCATCTCGATTTCCACGATTGGCACCACTCCCCTTCATGCCACACCCCTTTGCTACCTCCAGAATTCAGAATCACGTTAGACGCGAGCGCCTGGCCACGAAAAAGAAAGCGCCTCCCAGATCGGAAAAGCGCACTCGTATCACGATCGCTCGCGCGATGCGTTCCCTCGAAGCCCACACGAGCACGAGTTTGCGTGCGCGCGCGTCTCCGTGTCGCTCCCGGGACGGGGCTGCGTCGCGTTTCAAGGCTCTGCCGTCCGTCGCGGCAGCGTCGGGAGGCGGACCTGGACATCCTTTGATGTGTGTTTTTGTTTCGGCCCGTGGCCCCAGAGGTCCCGACCGCGTCGCCGTGGGCGTGATCGAGTAGGAGATCGCCTGCAAAACTGCTTGGCACCAAAATTGATGGTCAATCGAATGTACGTGCAATACGCAACATGATCCGTAGATCTACTGAGTTTTCTGCGCACATTCGATGGACAAATCAATTCTGGGGTTCGTCAATTCTGTAGTCGATCCCCTATTCGAGGTGTATCGCTCTGGATCCATGTTTCACGGTGCGGGGGCTCGAGAATGGCCCCCGAGGGCCGACATCTGGAAAAAACAACGCCAGTCGGAAAAAAAAAGGATCTTCGAAGAGTTGGGCCACCCGCCGCGGCAGCGTTAGGAGACAGAGGCGGCGGCGCCGAATGACGAGGCGCAAAGAGGGCGGAGGGCGGTGGGCTTGCGCTGATTCGGGGGCGCGAGTCCTCCGTGGCGGCTCTACCATACGCCACAAAACACTGCGCCCAACCTCTGGCCCCAACTCTGGCGCGACAAGAACGGCGCCCAAGCACAAGACGTAAGCGGCTAGGCAACGAGACGTTAGCGGCTAGGCAACGAACACGAACGTGCCCCCAGACCCCAGATCGCGAGGCCGCCCTCATGTTACAATCGCTCGCGCGATGCGCCCTTCCGAGGGTAGAGGCCTCCTAGATGGGGTCCGAGTAGATGGGGTCGGAGGATCGCGCCGCATCACCGATGTGGATCCCGACTTCCTCCACGCCGACTTCGCCGATGCATCGCAAACGTCGGCGATGCATCGGCGATGCGGCGCGATCCTCCGACCCCGTCTACTCCGAAGTGTGTGATGGGAAGAAGGGGGTCAGATATGGAGCGGGGGGTCTGGTTTGAGCTGTATTGGAGGGCTCCAGGGGGGTCTGGGTATTCCTTTTTTATGACGAAATCCCAAGTATCCGGACCCCATATGAAATTTGAACTCCCGAAGTAGGTACAAAAACCAAAGAATAAATAATGTTCAACAACAACAACAACAACAACAACCACAACCACAACCACAACCACAACAACCACCACAACAACAACAACAACAACAACAACAACAACAACAACAACAACAACAACAATTACTAGCACGTGGGGACACTCCGTTCTCACCAGTGCCAGGGTTTTCATAGGAGGCGGGCAATACCCCCACTTTGTGGGGGGGCCGGTTCAAGCTCTACCAAATTTCCAAACGACTCTTCGCCACCACCCACACCCAGCTTCCCGCCCTATGACGTTCGGACACTTCACTTCGTGGCATGCGGACGACCGTGGCTACTATTCAGGGCCCCGCGGCCGACGACGACGGCGTGCGCGCGCGAAGAAAAAACGAATGTGTCCCGCATGGTATTATTTGACAGGGATGATGGCCCTGGCAGGTGCGCAACCGTTGTTGCAGAAGTTCGAAAAAGTTGCTCGCAAAAGCCCGTTTGACAGAAATGTTTAAAAAGTGTTGGGTTTCCTACGAATCCGCAAGAGCGCGCGGGATGAAATTTTGACATTTTTTTTTAAAAAAAAAAAAAAAACATTGGTTTTTTGATGTTTTTATGTTAAAATCGCTACGAAAACTAAGGTTTTGGAAGGATTTCGTCTTGCGCGCGCGAATGTCCACTTTACCTTATTTTTTGCAAGGGATTCTTGAAGTTTGGTTATGTTAGAACAAGAAATGTCCACTTTAGCTTATTTTTTGCAAGGGAAAACCGATCGTAACAACACAACCGGATCCGGACCCCCCGTTTTGCCTGAGACTTCCTCACGAAAATGATGAAAATGTGGCTGCGGCCTAGGCGCGGCGGGGGGGTCGCGCACCAGGGGCCCCAACAATAATTATTCTTTAGAAGTAATAATGTTTCAATCAACAACCAAACAAAACAACAACAACAACAACAACCAACAACAAACAACATCAACCGCGAATCAGCAACAGCAACAGCAACAGCCACACAACAACAACAACCACAACACCACAACAACAACAAAACAACAAATCACTTTACCCGAACGCTCAGTTGTCTCACCAGCAGTGCAGGGTTTTTCATTCGACGCCAGCAAATACCCCGACGCCAGCAATACCCCCACTTTGTGGGGGGGCCGGTTCAAGCTCTACCAAATTTCCAAACGACTCTTCGCCACCACCCACACCAGCTTCCCGCCCTATGACGTTCGGACACTTCACTTCGTGGCATGCGGACGACCGTGGCTACTTAACACTGGCGGGAGTACACACCCAGCAGAAGTTGTTAAGCCTACGTTAGTACCACCCACAGAAGTTGTTTAAGCCTTGGTATTAAACCCACAGAAGTTGTTAAGCCTTCCACAGAACATTGTTTGCATATGATGCATATGGTACATTGATTACACATGATACACATGATACGTACTCACAAGATAGTTGATCAACTTCTTTTTAGGGCAAATTCCTGAGGGATGTGGGAATACACAAGAAGAGAAAGGAGGATATGGTTGCTCCCGATGGTTGTCTATCATATGTCGGTCCCGATGGTTGTCCTGATGGTTGTTGGTTGTACCGATCACGTTGTCCCAGATGGATTGTCCCGATGGTTGTTCCTGGATGGTTGTGCTTGTCCCGATCGTGGACCCGAAGCCATGTCCGATGATTGTTCCCCGTCGCGCAACCGACAAGGGACGTGTGGCCCGGGCAGGCGCACGCCACGAACCCGTGAAAGAGGAGATGCGAAAGTAGCTCGAGCGAGCTCATGTAACATAAATGTTGGAAAACCATTGGTTTTTTTAGGATTCGGACAGCGCGCGCGGGTGGAAATTTTGAAAAGTCGTGCAGGTGTTTTTCGAGGACCTACGGTGCGATTCGTGTGATTTATGATGCGCGGTGCTAAAATTCTTAAGAAGCCCAATGGTTTTTGGAGATTTCGGCGTGCGCGCGCGAAGAAAAAACGAATGTGTCCCGCATGGTATTATTTGACAGGGATGATGGCCCTGGCAGGTGAGCAACCGTTGTCGCAGAAGTTCGAAAAAGTTGCTCGCAAAAGCCCGTTTGACAGAAATGTTTAAAAAGTGTTGGGTTTCCTACGAATCCGCAAGAGCGCGCGGGATGAGATTTTGACATTTTTTTGTGGAAAAACCATTGGTTTTTTGATGTTTTTATGTTAAAATCGCTCCGAACACTAAGCTTTTGGAAGGATTTCGTCTTGCGCGCGCGAATGTCCACTTTACCTTATTTTTTGCAAGGGATTCTTGCAATTTGATTATATTAGAACAAGAAATGTCATTTTATAGTGTTTTTTGCAAGGGAAAACGGATTACAACAAAACAACCGGATCTGGACCCATCCACTTTTCTGAAGCTTTCGCGAAAAAATGATGAAAATGTAGCTGCGGCCTAGGCGCGGCGGGGGGGCCGTGCACCAGGGGTCCCAACAATAATTATTCTTTAGAATTAATAATGTTCAACAATTACTAGCACGTGGGGACACACCGTTCTCACCAGTGCCAGGGTTTCATAGGAGGCGGGCAATACCCCCACTTTGTGGGGGGGCCGGTTCAAGCTCTACCACATTTCCAAACGACTCTTCGCCACCACCCACACCCAGCTTCCCGCCCCATGACGTTCGGACACTTCACTTCGTGGCACGCGGACGACCGTGGTACTATTCAGGGCCCCGCGGCCGACGACGACGGCGTGCGCGCGCGAAGAAAAAACGAATCTGTCCCGCATGGTATTATTTGACAGGGATGATGGCCCTGGCAGGTGCGCAACCGTTGTCGCAGAAGTTCGAAAAAAGTTGCTCGCAAAAGCCCGTTTGACAGAAATGTTTAAAAAGTGTTGGGTTTCCTACGAATCCGCAAGAGCGCGCGGGATAGAATTTTCACAACTTTTTTTTTGAAAAACCTTTGGGTTTTTGATGTTTTTATGTTAAAATCGCTACGAAAACTAAGGTTTTGGAAGGATTTCGTCTTGCGCGCGCGAGTGTGCACTTCGTGTCATTTTTTGCAATGGATTCCTGAAGTTTGGTTATGTTAGAACAAGAAATGTCATTTTATATTGTTTTTTGCAAGGGAAAGCGGGGGGGAACAAAACAACCGGATCTGGATCACATCGTTTTACCTGAGGCTTCCTCACGAAAATGATGAAAATGTAGCTGCGGCCTAGGCGGCGCAGGGGGGGCGCGCACCAGGGGGCCCAACAATAATTATTCTTTAGAATAAATAATGTTCAACAACAACAACAACAACAACAACAACAACAACAACACAAACAACAACAACAACAACAACAACAACAACACAGGCTGCGATGCCCAACCACAACATTTGTCCAAAATCGACGGCGGCCTCTGCTGGGTAGGCGGCCTTCTGCCTCAAGTAGACAACGTCTGCGGCGGCGCGGGCAGCGAGCCCTCCCAAAATGAACAGGAACTGCCGCTGGGCATCGTACCAATTCCGCCCGTACCGAGAGGCCTGGCCCAGAGAGGCGCACAAGCGGAGAGGAGGGCGGCTCGCCCGCCAGCGCCAGCGCCAGCGGATGGAAGCGCACCGCCTCCAGCACCAGATCGCGGTCGGCCCGCAGGCCGTCGGGCAACACGGCGAGCGCGCCCGGGTCCTGCCTGAGTCGGCCGGGCCGCCGTCGGTCCTACTGGCTCCTCCCATGCTGCTCGTGCCCGTGCTCCTCCAGATTTCTTCCAAGAGAGCAACAAAAGGAGGGAAATCCGCTGCCCTCCACAGAGGGCTGAGCGTGGGTCGGAAGAAGGGGGCAGAGACGTGAAGTAGGAAGGCGTTGGAAATAGAGCGGGCTTCCGCAAGCCCGCTGAAGAGGGAAGAGGGAAAACCGCCAGACTCCTGAAGTAGGAAGGCGGCTAAAGTAGATTGAAACCTAGGGGTGAAAGGAAATGCTTTCAACGAGCGATGGGTATCCTATTCGCTCCTTTCGCGGACAGCCCTGCGCGGACACCAGAACAACTGCGCCATTGCCGCCCCAGGCAGGCATCCCTGTGCCCGTGTTCCTCCTGCTCGTCGTCCGACGGTGATTTTTCAACAAGTGTTTTTTCCCCCGAGTTCGACCCTCGTGGGCCGTCATCGGGCCCCTGGGGCCACCAACAACGGTCCCGGGCGAAAAGCTACTCCTGGGGAAGTGGTCGGGGCCTTTGGGGCCGCAGGTCGAAAAAGTCACACCAGATGTCAAGGTCGTTCCTCCTGCCCTTCCCTCCCGCTCCTGCGGTGAATCTCGATAAGAATAACTGGGTCAGCGGAGGCCCTGGGAGACCTCCACCGGCCCGTAGAGGTCCAATACAAGCCAAAACGTTCAACAACCTGACCTCCTCCGCATCATCCACTAATCCTCCGGCCTCTCCTCCTCCGCCTCCTCCTCCTCCTGCTCCTCCCGCTCCTCCTCCTAATCCTGATCCTAGTCCTCCTCCTCGTCCTCCTCCCTCCTCCTCCTCCTGTTCCTGTTCCTCCATTCCTTTCCTTATAAATAACTCCTCCCTGTCGCACCCCGAGTCCAGTATTTAGGGCGGGCTGGGCGTTTCGCCTGAGACTTCCTCACCACTTATGACCCTGAAACTTAAACATTGGCAACAGCTTCACAAA